TAGTCAATGTTTGGAAGAGGATTGTAAGGCGTATTCTCAGCTCCCTGAGTTGGTTGTTTGGAGGTAGTGCTACTATTTTCTATTTTAATCAGAGGTGGCAAGTTACTCTCCTCGATCCCGTCGGCTTCAAAGAATGTCATAGCCTCACGCCTGACCCTCATTTTCTTCCTAATAGAAGCTTCAACATAGGGTGTATTCGCCCCTGGATGTGCAACACCAGCCTCAACAATATGGAGGTTTGCATTTGTTATTTGTGTTGGAGGAATGAGAGGAGGATATTATTGGCTATCATCACTGATGTCAAAATCATTCTCTTTTTTAAGGAGACTAACATAGTTTAACAATATTAGAGAAATAAAATCAAGTTAAGGCAAATATCAGAATGGAAGGTGCAAACCATAATCTCTTCATTAGAGGAATTGTTGACATCATCGCCCAGTTATTTGGTCCCTAATGGCGTTGCAACATTAGATGCCTTTGGTGTTTTTTTTTACCCTGAGAGGGAAAATTGGGTCAAAATGTTGGCGTTAAAGAAAACCAAAAGAAAAGAAGGTTAGATTTTTACCTTTGAAGTTTGAGTGGTATCGGTGCCTTGGGAACCAGTAGTTGACGCCTTTAGATTAGTGGGAACCCTTGCAAAAAGAGACGACAAAAAGGTGTTAGAATCTAAGAAGATTTAAGGTAATAAAAAGCAAACACCATCGCAGATCCAGTTGACAAAGCTTACCTCGGTCTCTCAGGAAGGAGAAAACGTCAACCAGGCGTTGCGCCATGAGGGCGTGGTCTGAAACATTCTTGTAATGGAGTGCCCACCAATCCTCAAAATCTTGAGTGCAATGGTAGGAGAGCGAATATTTGAAGGAACCAAGGAAAACCTATTCCATTTTGCAAGACTAGTGCCAGCTGGCAAGTAAGTTCTCAGTAGCATTGTTAGTGGGAAAGAAGAAGCCCTTACCTTCAGGAATGAAACACTTAGGAAGAAGTTGGCTCAAACTAAACTTCTTGGCCACCAAGTTTGGCTGGTAAGGAGCCTCCATTAGGTTTGTCTTGGAAGAGGTAAGCCTCGACCACAAAGCGGTGAGACCGAAACAGGCAAGTAGAGTATCATGTATGTCTTTCTCCTTTTATTGGGACAGATTGGAAAAGTCCCGCACCTATACAATATTTGGAAGTAATTCTCAAAAACCCTAAAAGAGACAACTTTTCCATCGTCGAGAGTAAGTTTAGTAAGCATAAGACCTTCAACCCCCACTTTTGGGTTATAAGGAACTCTGGTTTTGAGATAGGGTTCAAAGGTAGCATTAAGCCACACTTAAAGCCAAATAAGGCCACCTATCTGAAGGCTGTCAGGATTCACCTTTTCCTTCAAGTCTTTACATGCCAACCCCAATGATTCATATAAGCAAAAATTGATTAACATGCTTAGGCACATTTTCTCCCTTCATGGAGTTGTGTAGCTATAGGGACATACTTCTTCGCTACCTAAGCAAATCGAGTGCAAAAGACGTACCTGGAAAGCCAGTAAGTCGGGAAAGCAATGTGTTCTTGAGCATCCACTCAATCTCTCAAACCCTTATGGTCCTCTATGAAGGAGCTATAAACGGTTCTAACAAAGGTAAAACCAAGATTTGTCTTTGTTTATGTTAAGGGCTTAAAGGCCTCTCTAGTTGGTCGAAAACCAACTATGGAAGAAATGTCAAAGAGGGTGGGAGTTATCATCCCACAAAGTAAGCGGAACATGTTGGTCTACGTGTACCAAAAACACATAGCAGAAATGAGCATGTGGGAATTGTATGAGAGACCCACTCTTGATAATTGTATTAGGTAAAAAAATGCCAAAATCCCTAAAAAAATGCTCCTTCTTCTCTTCAACCCTATTCAGCCATTTGATGTAATCAGCGTCCTCAGTTGGAGGAGAAAACAAAACACTCTGTTCTAAAAGAAGTTTAAATTGAATGGTTTATCAATGACCACCAAGGGTTCGTAACCAAGGTAAGTATGAAAGAAATCTTTCACTATGCGAGGTTTCTTAATGCGCCACTAAAGTGGACCCATGAAAAAATGCGCAGAGCCAACAAGAGTGTAAGGGATGCAGGAAACACAATACTATAAGTTCCTTTTTCCATCCTCCATGGGAGGTTAAAGAACATAGGCACGACCATTGACATACAATGGTGCATTAATCTCAACAGTGAAGCGTGGATGAGACTTATATTTAGGCGCCATTGTGGTAAATGAAGGTTTCTTAGATAAGAGCTTAGTGGAGAAGAAGCAAATCTGTTAGGAAAAAAATCTTAAAGATTATTCTTTGCATGTGTTTCAGAAAGATGTAAGTGAGGAGAATAAAACGTTTGGGGTAGCATGTTAAATACCTAGAGGATAAAGCACTTCAGTTTTTCCTCCAAATAACCTTAGCCACATGGCGCGCTTGATTCGACAGATGGAGTCATAAGGTCACGGGGAAAGATGAAAATGAAGTTAAAAAAGTTTTTCTTAATTTTATTTTTAGTTAAAGCTTATAAGAAATATGGAGTGATCATGATTGATTGCACACATGTCTGCGACGTGACGTTTTGGTGTAAAGTGATCATAATGACCATAAAGTAATAGTTAAATATTGTGATGTTTCATTGAAGTGAAGTGTGCAGACTGAGCAAACATTGTTGAAGGGTTACAAAAACACCACATTTCTTCCATTTGATCATATGATCGAAAGTGACCTTTTTGGGGGACATCTGTTAACCTGAGATTTTCTTTACTTAGTAGGAAAAGTCAAACGAATGTTGCACTAGTGAAAATGGTAAGGGTTAGCATTGATGGACAGGAGTCGACAATAATGACACGTCGACTAAGACTTCTTGACTGACATCTTGAGATGTAGTTTGGGAGAATCTCAAGAGCAGATCTTGAGATTTAGTTTGGAGGAGTCTCATGAATAGACCTGGGTAACCACTCGACCCCATGTCGAGGATGAGACTCTCGACAAACTCTAAAAACTTAGAAAATTAAGGAAACCAAAGACATAAGAGACTTAGTACTATCAACAACTACCTCTAACGACCAGACAGTTACTAGTCGCTAAGAGCAGTTAGAGAACGTAGGATAATGGTTTTCAGCAGTTTCAAAGTGTTGACAGCGTGGTAGGGCATTAGAGGATGAGTTGCATGCATTCAGAGACATGTTAATTCTTTAGGAGTAAACTGTTGGAAACAATTGTTTTTAGTTTAGTATATATAGTAGGCTCATATGTTGTAATCAAGGTCGGAAATTTCATATACTTTCTCTATAGAACTGGAGTACCCAAGCCAAAAAGTGAAACAGTTTATGAGCTTGTACATTTTAATGTTTCATATATGAGTTTGCGTCCTTTTTCTTTGTACATTTTAATGTTTCCTTAATTGAAACACCATTTTATTTTGTCATTTACTACATAATCCTGTTTATTTTAAACTTCTTTTACTTCAATTCAACCTTTATTGTTTTTAAAGTTTACTTTTACACTGTCTACATCCAGTAATTTACTATACGTACTTTCTTGTAAAAGTTTTTGTACAAAAATATTTCCAAGATTTTTCGAGTTAATCTCAAAGACTTTTAAATTCGTAATTGTCTGCTAAAAACACATGCGAACACCTCTGCATTTACCTCCTCGAGATCATACCGTCAATAACGCCCTCAAAACCTCTTGATACGCTCCCTATATGTCAATTTAACCCCCCTTTTTTTAAAAAAGACTTTCTCCTTAGGGTATATCTTGAAGTAAGTCTTCTAAATCCTCCCAAAAATTTACCTTAAGGTGTCATGCTAACCCAACCGAGGTGCGTAAGCACTAATAACATTAAAGATGTCGTGCTCCACTATAAATTTCAAGGTTATGATTCTATCTCCTACTCTTTTCACATTTTTATCATTCTTTCACTTTCTGTCCTCAATAATTCCCACCTCATTTCTTGATCTAACTTTTGCGGTGTACTAAATCTTAAATCTCAAGTTGTCTAATTCGTTTACCTTTTCACTAGTTCACTTAGTTTCTCGTAGGCACATGAAATTGATCTTCTTGATAACCATAATGTCCACTATATTTATAGATTTTTCGATGAGCATACCTATATTGCATGATCCAAAACGAATTTTACTTTCATGAGTTAACTTCTTTATCCACACGCCCTTCTTGTTTTTAACTACATTCAGATGACAATGCAACCACTCTTACTCTTTTAACAATGTCCTCGACCTATATACTCAAGTTATATGTGCATATCTTGATGAATATTGTAATTGTTTTTACATTTATAAATTAAATCCAAATTAAAATTGAACTGTAACTTTTTTTTAACCCCTAAATTAAAAATAATAACTGTTTGGAAGTAATGGAAGATAGCCTTTCAATTTTCCCACATTACTCTGTTTCCACTCCCAACCCAAAACTCTCGTCCGCTTCTCACTTCTCACTCCCCGCGCCTAACCAACAATTTCCTCCTTCCAACCTCATAGTTAGGGTTTATCCATCACCCACATCTCCACCATATTCTCACACCGAAAACCCTCTCAATAAAACCCTACTCTCCCCGAATCAAGATTTCCCCTTTCTCTTTTTGCGATTCCGCGTCGTTGGACGTTCTGATTGGTTCGCGTGGATTCCGTTTCAGAATCGAAGTTGGAAACTTTGGTGGAAAAAGAGATGAAACGCAGCGTTTCGTTGGTGCTGGTGCTGTTCCGTGTTGCGCAATGTCGACAATTGCGAAAAAGAACTTAAATTGATTTCTTTTTACGGTTAGTTGGATTTGTTTTATTTTATATGGTTTCTTTTGAGGAATGAAATTATCTATAGGGGAATGCTGGTTAGGTTGAGCTAGCTCATGTATCTTGTTGTTTTGATTAGAGTTGTTTATGCTTGTTCTTGTTCAGGGAATTCTTTGCTGTGTGTGAAAGTTGGGTTTTTTTATTTTTGTGTTGCTTAATTGGGACTGTTGGTTGAATATCTGGTTTGAGCTTTATATATGTATAATCAAGGGAATCATGGTCCGAATTCGGGGCAGGGTTCAAACCCTCCACCTCCGCCTGCACTGCTGCCACCACCACCACCGCCATTGGGTTATCAGCAGGCACTGCCTCCTCCACCGCCGCCCCATTTTCAGCATTTTGTCCCACCACCCCCACCAGCAGTTCCCCGTGTTTATTTACATGGACCCCCCAACGTGCCAAATATAGGACCTTCATATTCCATTCCTTCTCAAATGCACCATGGGAATAGCATGGCTCAACAAACATTTTCTTCCATTGGGCAAAATTCCCAACATTCTCCTAATTTAGGTGTCCATAGTCATACCATTCTGCCCCCAGTTCCTCCCCCTATTGGCCACTCTCATCAGGAGACATCTTGGGCTCCTAGGCTGCCAAGTAGAGTGTTGCCACCTCCTCCCTCTTCTTCCCAAGGACAAATTTTGCATAATCATCATCTTCCTCCTCCACCACCCCCACCTCCTTTTAATGCTCCGTCTCCTGATGGAGTTTATGGGCATTCAACTGTTGGGAATTACAACCACATGGCTTCCGTTGCCCCTCCACCGTCACTACCACCATTGCCAAGCTCTCCACCACCAGTTCTGCCATCTCCGCCACCTCCTGCCCCTCTTATGGCGGCTTCTACATCCTCCCAAGTTGCATGCACTGATGATCAATACTCTTCGGAGGCCGTGGAGTCAGTAGAAGGATTTGTAGGTTCCTGTCCATCTGGTACTGTGCCTGTACATAATTCTGATTCTGAAACCAATCAAGATGTTGGAAATTGTGGTGATGTTGCTCTGGTTGCCCTCAGAGATGAGCTATTGCCAACTAGAAGTGTAATGTTGGATCTTACCCCACCTCTGCCCCAGCCAGCAGAAGAAAATACTGTAAGCGCTGATTCTGACATGGAGATGGAAGGTTAGTTTGCATTGTTACCCATCTCTTCTTTTTTAATGTTGTATTTAAATTTTGATATCATTGGTTCTGGTATAGAGTTGATGAGTGCTAAATATCGACCAAATGCATGAATCTGCTGTTATGTATTCTTATATTGCTTTTTTTTATTTTTTTTATTTTTTATATTTGATTTGGATGCTAATAAAATGCAGAGTTTATTTTCATTGTTAGAGAAGCCAATGGATTAGAGTTTTATTTTACAGTATAATATAATATACAGGAAACTGGATAACAAATTTTAGTTAAGTGTGGTTCATCCTTAGTATTCCATCGAGGGCTGCTGCTCACTCTTTAAAATGTAAAGACAGACTAGACTGTTCGCTTTGATATAATTTCTATAACAGCAACCTTAGTAGTGAATACCTTAAGTATTATTTTCTGATGTGTTCTCTGCTATATTTATATATCTAAATAGGTAAAAGTGCATTTGGTGGGGGATGGGTGTAACTGGTTTACTTTAGCTGTGGGTATGCATTTTAAATTTTGGATAATGTCATAATAGCTGGCTGAAAGTTGGCTAGGGGGAAGAGAGGAGTGACCCAACGCGGATGATTCTCTTTAGGGTATATTTTTATTTTGACAAATACTTACTTTTATTTCTCATGGGCTGGTTAAGAGGAGTGACTTAACAAATAAAATTTTGTTCTATAACTTGAGCCTGATCCGCTTTATTTTTTTTTCTTCTCATGGGCTGGTTAAGATGACATAACACTTTCTGACAAAGACCAAGGATCAACTTATGCAATTGAAGGGGTAACTCTGCCGCATGATCGGGTTGATGAGGTGTTTAGCATTAATGAAAAAATACAGAGGCTGCAGAGTTCAACACAAGACGAACCTGACAAGGGCATCTTATCCAGTGGTGTATCATGCTCTGGATCCACAGGAGTCAGCAAAAAAAATGAAGGTTTCATTCAAGAGAAACCACTGTTCATTGTTTTTGATTGATTTTTGTATTACTTAGGTGCTTAAAGTTTCCATGTGATAATCAGACATTTATTTATCTAGTCCATCAGCTATTCGTCATGGTGATTGATATTTTTCAAAATTAGGGACAGAAGATTTTTTCATTACACGGTGAGTTTTAGCTCTAGAGTCCAACCAATATTGTCTATGGAGGAATGCCAAAAGCCCACTTTATAAACACGCCATTGCGGTCTATGGTGCTTCTGTGATGGGCATCCCTTCAGAAATTGCCTATGGTTGTTGTCCAAAATTCAATCACGTCATTCTGCCAGGGTGGCACCATGACCACCATTTAACAACCCTGAGTCCAACTCTGATTTTTCAGTACTGAATTCATCAAATACTTTAGTGTTCAATAAGATTTCACTTTAATGTTTAAACACATCATCTAATTGATAAAAACTATAAGAAAAAACTTATACAAATTAATCAAGAGTTGTGCCAATTGCTTACCGAGGTAGCCCTCTCAGAATTCAGTATCTCTTACTTGTTGAATTTTAGGAAATCACAATGGAAATAGGGAAAATAGAAAGAACAAACGACAAAAGTTAGAAATAACTGGGTTTGTCCTTCACAAAGGTATCCCTTTTCCATACAAATTTTATAGTATTTTGGGTGAGTTCTTCCATCTCTTGATCCCCCAATGTTAGAATATTATGTGCCTACTTTATTATTTGATTCCAAATCCATGCTAGAGTTAACTATCTTATATATTCCTTTATTCAGATTATTTTATGTTCCTGTGTTGATAAGACTCTTAAAATGCAGGACTAGGACCTTCATCTGATGTTGTGCCCATGAAATCTGCAAGATCAGCTACCAAGGTTCTTAGTCCGCTGAATGACTCAATTGAATTGGCCGAATCTCTCCCAAGCACTAAGTCGGGAAGATTGGAAGCTCCTCTAGACAAGTATTTTATAGGAAATGGTGCTTCTGATCATAGCGAAGCCACTGATCCCAATAGAGATTCTGAGCAAGTTATGAGGACCGGCAGCCCAATTAGACTTCTTCAAAATTATGCTTCTGATGAAACTTCAGATAATGAAGATGAAGTCTCTACAGAAGATGCTAATAATGTTTTTACAGACTCTGCAGGAGTTGATTCTTGTGTTCCGAATGCCCTTAAAGATCACAAGAGTAATTTGGAGACTGATATTGGATTGAAAAGTCCCTCAGTGCCCGATGTAACCGGTAAAAGATCTGTCTCACATACTAGTGATGGATGTGTTGCGCCTAATCTCGAAAACCAGGTGTCTGTTAATTTTTCTTCTTCAGTTGAAGCTTTACAAGGAGAAGACAGGTTAGGTGATACTGGTTTTGACATTGATAGTAAGAGTGGTACTGCTGAACAAAAACGTGAGAAGGAAACCTCAAAGTTTGAACCGACTGTTCTAAAAGTAGATGAATTCGGGAGGCATATCAGAGATGGTGCTTCAGGTAGTGACTCTGATGAATCTCACAGTCATCGGACTAAGAGGACGAATAAAAGAGATAGAAGCCGGAGTCGCAGTCGGTCTCGATCTCCCATTGACAGAAGGAGTAGGAGAAGAAGAAGAAGTCCTTGGAGGAGAAAGGATAAAAGAAGCCTCTCTCGCAGGTATGTACTGCCACAGTGCTTTGTTGGATGCCTTGATTACCTTCTATTAACGTGAACATTGTCTACAAACAGCCGGTGTAGGATGCACAAGCTATCTTTTCCTAGGTTATTTTGTTGTTTGAGTCTAGGCTAAAGTCTCCCTCTGTTCGTTGAGGATCTATGATGCTCATGCACCGATACTTTATTTTTCCTTCTGTACCATAATTATATGTGATATGCCGATAGGATACTCTTCATTGCACTGTCGAAATGTGTTAGTGCAGTAATGGAGACTGATGGAACTGAAAAAATCCATCATAAGAAATTAAATAAAGAAAATATATCAACAGTGTAAAATATTCAATTCAATTTATTAAATAGATGAAGAAAGTGAACAATTTAAAAAGTAATGAATCCATTCTACCCCAGAGCAAAGCTCCTCAGAGGAGATAACTCCCTCTGCCTAACCATAACGGTTCATTCAATATTCTAACCTGATGCATATAATTCACCAACATCACTATTTATACTACTAAGGCAAATCTAACATGCCAACTAAGTATCCTAACTCACACCTTATTTATCATATATCCTTACCACTCGCATTATTACATAATACTTCCTTTTTCCTTATGACCCCTGTTTGGTCTCTATTAGAGACCATTTAAAAAAATAAATCCCGATACTCTTTAAAAAAATAAATCCCGATACTCTTTTTAAATAACTCACACCTTATTTAAAAAAATATATATATATTGAGGATATTATTTTTAAGAATATTATTAAAAATTTTCAAGTTTTGTTTGTTGCAGCTGGTCTCCTCGGCGGCGTAGAAGCAGGAGTAGGTCTCCAATCTTAAGACGTTCAGGTGACATTCATGGGGAAAATGTGAGAAGGGACAAGGATCAATGCTTTGATTTCTTACGTAGAAAGTGCTATCGTGGAGCATTATGTAGGTTTGCGCATCATGAATCTGACAGGAGTGCTACTTCAAGGCGCTCCAGGAATAAACATGATCTTGAACTCGACTCTCGTGAAAAAGGTTCTAGGGTTAATGAAGAAGTTAAGAGTATTTCTTCTAAAGTGTCAGATTATGAGCATGGAGTCAGAAATCAGGACACAGATCTTCACCAGAATATAACTGGCCAGGAAGTAGTGCAAAGAAAGGAAGATTTTGAGGGCCGTGCTGTTGTGTCTACTACCTTTGGTATCGATGGTCAATCGTTTAATAGCATTCCAAATTCTGATGGTGTTAGAGAGGTTTCTCCTAAAGTGCATGAAACCTTAGTAGTTGGAGAAAAGCCCAAGACTTCAATACATGAAAGTGATAGCTCTCAGAATGTATTAAGTTCTTATCAGCAGCACTTGGTTGATGACTTTCAGCCTGAAGCTTTAATTCATGCTGATGCTTCTAAACCATCTGGTGGTACATCTAAAGATGTTATTCCATCAGAAGATGGTTCATTTGTTCAGCAACGACAATCCAATGTTTCTGTTGAAATTCCAGAACATTCTGGCGGTACATCTAAAGATGTTCTTCTTTCAGATGATGGTTCATTTGTTCAGCATCTACCATCCAATGTATCTGTTGGAGTTCCAGAACATTCTGGTTACCCATCTCAGCTTCTAAATGTGGCCGGTGTGACTGGTTTGTCATCTGATAAAAGATCTGCTAATGAGGTTTCTGGTAGTGAACCTTTACCATTTACGTTACCATCTACACAACTACACTCGGCCAATAGTTCTGTTGGTCCATGTGTAGCATCAGAGCAGCCTTCAATGCACCCTCAGGGTTCTAAAGAGTTACCTCCACGAAGTGTTTCATCGGTGCAAATCCCTCTTCATACTTACCCATTGCCTGCTTTTACTGGTTCACATTTCCAGGGTGAAAATGCCGTGCATATGCCACAAATTCCGAGGCCATATGGCGTAGTGCAGCAAAATGCATTATTTCCTTTCCAATCTCCTTACCCACCTCCATTACAGACACCAAATTCTCATTTCAGTGTACCGCCTCATAGCTCTTGGACCTCCTTGCCGCCGCCGCCACCACCACCACCACCACCACCACTATCACAGGCCGTGTATAATTCCAGTTCAAACTTGGGAGTTGCAAAATCTTTTATTTCTTCCGAATTTAATCAGAATCAACTGCATTCGAGAACTGATTATGTTTCCCAGACTTCCTTGATTCCTGGGTTGCCATCTAATTCTCAAAATTCAAAGTTTGAGGATCAAGCTTACCCTCCATTGCAGGACCATTCTCAAACTTTTGTGCGTACAGAACCTCTCTCTCCCAATCATCTTCATCAGGGGCACCCGGCATACCAATCACTTTCAAGCTCCACATCTTTTGGTGGCCTGCATCATCAACCTAAACAATTTTCCTGGGAGTCAGATGTGAACAGACCACAACCTTCTTTGGGCGTCAGGTTGCCTCCTGAAGGACATTTCGGCACTTCCTCCCACATTCATCCATTATCACAGCAACAGCAATCAAGTCATAATTTTCAATATACTTCATCTGATGTTAATTTGGCTGGACCTGGAGGGACTGCTACTGTATCCAGACATCCACCACATATTCCTGACAGCAACCATTCAACTTCTCTTCCGGCTTTTGGAGCATCAAGAGTTTCTGCCCACTATAATCCTTATGCATCAACCTTTGAGCAGCCGCTAAGTTCGAAATTCAGTTCAAGCTTTTTACGACAAGAAAATGATATAGATTATGGTAATAATTATGGTCCTTCTAGATATAGGGAAGGGGATAGTGTTGGATCAAGACATACAGCATCGCCAAAAGCAGCAGGAGCTGTTGGTCGGATCTTGCCAGGGTCCGGTGAACAATATAATCCACTTTTTGACAGCATTGAACCATCATCATCTTTGAAGAAATTTGATTTTGAGCAGAAGCAAGAAGTTACAGGCGAATCCAATTTCAGCCTAAGGCCTAAAAGTTCCCATATGTCTTTGGATGCCAAAGAGAAGAAGCATGAGAAGGTTGGGGCTGTTGCCTCTACCAGTTCTCTAAATAATGATGAATATGGGGAGACAGCAGATGCTGAGGTGGGTGCTGTTGACAATGAAAGCCTAAGTAATGACGTGGATGTTGCAAACATGTCTCCGGAGGAGAATGAGATTAATCAGACCAAATCCCCAGGGAAAAGAAAGAGCAAGGATTCTAGATCAATGAAATTATTCAAAGTTTCTATTGCAAACTTTGTAAAAGAGGTTTTGAAACCATCATGGCGACAGGGTAATATGAGTAAGGTGGCTTTCAAAACCATTGTGAAAAAGACTGTAGACAAGGTGTCGGGAGCCATGAAAGGCCACCGTATACCCAAATCTCAAGAGAAGATAAGTCAATATATTGACTCATCACAGCGAAAGTTGACTAAACTTGTGATGGTAATTGATCTTCTCATATCTTTGTGTTTTTACCTCACTGAAAATATTTAGGTAAACTGTTTTTGTTGGTTTTATGTTTATATATCCCTATCTGAAGCTGTTTATCATGTCCTTTATTTTCTGCAGGGTTATGTTGACAAGTATGTCAAAGTGTGAAGGTTGGAAGTGAACTTTGCCAATGTTTCTTCAATATTTAATTATCATCATCAGTCTACACACTTTCGTAGAAAATACACTAGTGCTTGCCTGGAGTTTGCCCCCTTCATTTGAAAGAGTATTGGAAGATGATCAGTGACATGTTCACCAGCATTCCATATCCTGAAGATTTCTTGGTCAACCTCAAATGTGTATGTATATTGTGATATAGTTATTATTTTCTAGTACTTTGAAAAGGGCTGCCCATAAGAAGTTGGATTTTTCCCAAAGTTCTCTCTTTTCTTGTTTTAATGAGCTGATAACGTCAGAGAAAATGTAGTAAAAAAACTACTGCAAGGAAAGAGTAAAATTTTCCATTCTTTTTTCTTGTACAATTTTTCTTTTTCTTTTGACTTAATCCAAAGCATCTCTGGTTGTCTCTGGTTGATAGAGATTTTACTATGTAGCATGCTGCATGTAAAAACAATCTTTCCTTGTACTGTTGAAATTCAACAAAATCTCAAAATGGTTGGAGGAGAAGGATTTCAAAAGATTTGAGGCGATTTAGATAAATTATTTACACTTAATCTATATTGTTAAAATACTATAAAAATTAAAAATATATCAATCATAAATATTTATTTAATATCATCGAAAAAAAACAATTTCAAATAAAGTACAAGATTTCTTCTTCAAATCAATCTCCTCATCTAAACTCTCAAATGGAAATTAAATTGGTTGACAATGTAACATCTTGGTTTTTAAGACTTACTTTGCGTTTGCTTATGTGTGTGTAATAATGTGCTTAGAATTATGCACCGAAGACGCATTGAAAGAGAATTTCTTATCCCACCCTTTGGAGTTCTTAGACACCATGTGTGCTTTCAAAAATACCTTATTGTTTTCGGAGATATATCTTAGGACGAACTTTTGTTTACTCAATATAGGTTTTTTTCGAAGTTACATCTACAAAATGATTCTGTTTATATAGCTCCGGAACATATTGGAATACATTTGTGCCAGAGCCCAATTTCCTCTCTCATTCTTCATTTTTCATCTTTTTCACTTTCAAACTCTTCAAACTCTCTCAATACTCAAAAAATTATTTTTCACCAAACTTAACTTTTTTCAATCGAGTGCGATAAGGAGCATTCATTTCGACAATCAAGACACTCCAAATTATTCAAAACTCGATATAATCGGTAAGTTTTCGAGATATTTTCGAGTATTTTCCTTAAACGAGTTAGAATATAATTAATGGTAGAAATCCTTAGATAGTTTTAGAAACATAGTTTATAGATAATGTAGGTATTGTTTGTTGGTTGAAACAAACAATCAGAGATTCAAAAAATCGATTTTCATGGGTAGGGGACGCCATTGTCGTGACTATTGGAGTTGCATAAAGTTTCGGAGCTACATCTACGGAACAAATTAACGTTAGGGCAATTTCGTAGATGCAGCTCCGGAACAAATCAAACATTGGGTACTTCCGTAGATACATCTAGGAAGTTTTCCGTATGTAGATATCCGAAAGTTAAAAAATGCTAGTTTTTTTTTTAAATAATTTATTTGTATCTAATTGTTTTTTCTTGGTTATACCTTGCAGACATTATGGTAGATAAAGACGATAGATTGCGACTTGGACGAGTTTTACAACATGCATCTATCAAACGCGAGCAGAGCCAGGCTGTTATCGAGACCGACACATCTGTTCCAGTAGAGCCTACAACTGAGGCACAACCTTCTTCATCACATGCCTATGACACTCCCTCGGCATCGTATCCCAACCCCATCATCCACTTCTTCATCCCGGAGGCGTCGACATTCAGCTGTGGAAGACCAGGACTATGGCAGGTAGCGTGTCACTACTTGTGGTAACAATCTTATATATTCTTTGACTTTTTTTCATTTCTTTTCATTCTATATTCGTGGTAATGCTTGATCCTGATTTTTTTAATTTTCATTTCAGGCTTGGATATTCCAGCACTTTCCCATGATCGCCGGGTGGGGGAGTATGCCTGATTACACAGAGCTGATGCCGCGTGCCAGTGCCTTTCCTCCGTTTAGGGGGAACCAGGCAGTTGACCCTTACAGAGTCTATCTCGATCGCCTGGCTGCTGAGGATATCCACTACGATGTCTATGCTGATCACCGTGTGAAGCACACGTTTGATGACATCTCACTATTCTCAGGATGGTTGGCATGCAATTCGACCATCATTATTCCATATTTTTCTCGAGCGCGTCATGTGACAGTTCGGGTACACACAGACGATACCCAGACACTCAACTGTCTCCGCTCCTCTCGGCTTGACCCGTATACAGATAGAAGAGATCTATGCTGACTATCAGAGGCACATGGTACCAGACGAGACTCGGGTGACCAGAGCATCGAGATATTGGAGATGCATTGTTGGCTACATCATGTGGTTCTTCACCATCTCACACCCCTACATGGTGTCCACTGGAACAGATGTGTCGGTCTCACTGTCCTCAGATAATGAAGATAGGGCGAGCAGACATTAACGCCAGTTTCTTCCATGAGGGGTCTGACCACGGCGTATATTGGATGTGGTGATTACGGTGGCAGAGGGGCACTTATATACCGCAGACATTGCGCCAGGACGTGTGGGATCGATGACAGAGGACGCAGACTGGGCGGTCGAAGAGGCGGTAGAGGCAGAAGAGGCGGCAGAGGCATAAGCAGAGGAGAGGGTGAAGATGTTGTCAGGCACACACAATAGTGACTGTGGTGTTTTCTCTTATGTACTATATATCATATTATTTTATTTAAGTATGTATGTTATTTTAGATTCATCTACAATAGTTAATTTCCATCTGCGATCAACAAAACTGGATTTTAAAAAAAAAACCTGTTCTAATAAAATTTCAGAGATGCATCTAATAAACTTTTTTCGTAGATGTGTCTCCGGAAGCATCTAGCGTAAAGAAAAAAGGGTGTGTTCGAAGATACAACTCCGAAAGTAGGGGACATAAAAGAAAATGCGATAGGTGACTAAGAGTATCAAGGGGTGGATTAATAAATTTTAAAAAAAGAAGTTATGCATAGAGGGTTAAGGTTAAAAAAATGGAAAGAAATAAAAAAGTTAGGTGTGGTAATTGAATATTATTTTAAAATTTAAAATTTTAAGTAATTTAAATGATTCAATTAAAATTTATTTATTTTAATTTTTTTTGGATGAAGTATCAAAATTATTCTTTGTTAGGTTTTTGAGAAATTTTAAAAATTTTAGATCAAATTAAAATTTGAAAAATAAATACCAAGCTGTAATTTCAAAATTTTAAGTATAATTCAATAATAAAATAAGTCAATTAATCCATTTTTTATACCGTCTGGTAATATATTTGATCAAACATGAACTATGTACTGTATTAATGTGTATTTTTTATATAACAACTAATAGATGTTTCATGCGTCCGCACGGAAAAATTTATTTATATCTTAAATTATTGTTAAAATGTTATTAAAAATAACGAAATATTACAAATTTGTGTTATTAATACAAAATAAAAATATGGATATACCTGGCTTGTCTTAATATATTTTTACATGCATTAACGAAAAATACTAAGAATAATCATCTCAACAAATAATATTGTATATTGTTTTAATTAAATTTTTCAATAATTTTAAATTGATATTATTTAAAATATAATTGATCTTGACGGCTGATCAGAATTTGAAGTGGGGCAGAGATAATTGTCTGTGATGTTGAGTGTGAAAGAGGAGGAAGGGGGTGTACCTGCAAGGCACTCCGATGTTAAAGTAAGAATCAGGAGAAAGAAGACAATTACAAAATATGTGTGTATCAAGGTGAATATTGAATACCTGACCCTCTCAAATGAGAGGGCTTTTATAGTGCCCGCAACGCTTGGCCATTGGTCCCTATTTTCGGGGCGAGATAATCGTTTTCTGAAGAATAGGGCCAGAAACTAGCCGTTGGGATGAGCAGAGGTGTCCATAATTAGCTGTTGCTACGGGAAGAGGCGCAGTAACGAGCACAAGCGTCGCGACTGTTTTTGGTTGATGGGGCCGTACATGACGGGTAAGGACTGACGAGGAGAAGTGCTGGTCCAGGGGTAAACCGGTCAACCTCCCCTGGTGGAGGGGCAGAAAGGTAAATGTTCCCCCAATTTGGTTGGACTTAGGCAATTGGGCTGTTATGGGAGCAGAAGTGGATTGGGCCATGCCTAGCCATTGGGTCAGTCCAGAACAGTAACCCCCTAAGTCATTGCTTCCGAGCATGGGAATGATGACTTAAGGACAGTTCTCACTTTGGACAAGGTCGTCACTTGTTGCAGAGATGAGGCTGTTACTTGGTGCTCGAGGGAATCTGTGTCAGGGGACCTGTAACGCTGCATGCCAGGGAGCTCGAGATATGGGGAGACCAACGATTGATGGGAACTGAAGAGGTGAAGTGCCACGTGTGCCTCGAGCTGTGTGCAACATTTAATGCGCAATGGTGGCTAGGCTAGGGTCATAATGATGCCCCTAGCCGCGCGTGCTCGTGCCATGAATTGTCTATAAATAGAGCGAGAAGCTGCTCATTTGCACTTTTCGCTTCTCTCTACTCTTGCTCTCTGTCTTTACGTTCCGCCGTTCGCTGCCATCTAGTTCCGACCGACTGCCGTACATTCACCGACCAAAGCCGTTCGACCCAGAATCACGTCCTCGACCATGTAAGTACCTGGATTTCTCTCTTGTTGTAGGTTTTACTATTCTCTTCTTCTTAGAAAGCATGCGGTTAGGGTCGTAGTGAAGTAGCTTAGGGGCTGTTTTCCAGTGGTTGACAGTGGTTTGGCCACTTTATTCTGCTGTCGGCGTCGCCATAGCTTTTAGAAGCATAGGATTTTTAGTTGATCCTGAGGCTGTTGCGACTAGGGCTGGAAATGAGTCGAGTCGAGTCGAACTCACCTCAACTCGGCTCGACTCGTTAAGAATTGTTCGAATTCGAGTTCGAGTTCGAGTTCGACACGAACTTTTTTTTAAGCTCAAACTCG